AGGGCCATCATCCCTGTCAAATAATACCATGCGGGACACATTCGTTTTTTCTTCGCGCGCGCACGCCGTCGTCGTCGGCCGCGGGGCCCTGAATAGTAGCCACGGTCGTCCGCATGCCACGAAGTGAAGTGTCCGAACGTCATAGGGCGGGAAGCTGGGTGTGGGTGGTGGCGAAGAGTCGTTTGGAAATTTGGTAGAGCTTGAACCGGCCCCCCCACAAAGTGGGGGTATTGCCCGCCTCCTATGAAAACCCTGGCACTGGTGAGAACGGAGTGTCCCCACGTGCTAGTAATTGTTGTTGTTGTTGTTGTTGACGTTGTTGTTGTTGCTGTTGTTGTTGTTGCAAGCGGGGGGGCCAGGGGCCCAGCTTGAGCACCAAGACTTCCTTTTTTCAAAGAAACAGAGTGCGAGTCTCGAGGGGCACATTGTGATTGAGAAAAAACAGCTTGCATCGGTGAGCAGGGATCAGCAAAAATTTTTCTCCACAAATGAGAGCTCAACAACAACAAGAACAACATCAACAGCAACAGCAACATCAACAGCGAGAAAAACGCAACAACCATAATTATCAACACGAGTTCCCTATTCAGCCACGCACCCAGGGACAATGCATGACCGCTCGGCCCCCTCACTCTGATTGATATGTGTTTTTCCTTTCCCCCCAAGCGACGGTTATGTTTAAGTCTACGCTTCCCAATCGCCGCGCGCAGCCGCGTTGGGTCATGCCCCCCACGGGAGAAGGTGGAAGGAGGAGGAGGCATGAGGCATGATGAGAAAGAGGCAGGAGTAGGAGGACGATGCCGAGGAGGAAAAGGTGGAGTGAGGAGGAGGAGGAGGAGGAGGAGGAGGAGGAGGAGGCAGGAGGTAAGAGGACAGACGAGGAGGAGGTAGGAGGATGAGGAGGAGGAGGAGGAGGAGGAGGAGGAGGAAGAGGAGGAAGAGGAGGAGGATAAGGATTTGGAGGAGGATTTGGAGGAGGAGGAAGAGGTAGGACCAGGAGGGGAAGGAGGAGGAAGACGGGGGCAGGAACGAGGCGCTCCCTCAACAACGTACTCCCGGACATGTCCAGGGGTACACTTTCGCCAGAATCTCGAGACGAATCGGGCCGCGGCTACTAGGGCGCCCGAGGAGACCCAAAGAGGCACTCCAAGACGCCAAAGCAAACACACATTCGATCCTTGAACCTCGATCCTCGAGAATCGCTGCCCGCAGCCGCGTTGTCAGGCTTCTCCCTCCTCCCGCAGGGGTAACGTTGGGGGGGGATAGGGGATATAGGCTCAGGAGGGGTACGCGTCGACCCCCGATCTCCCATTCATCGCCGACAGGGGCCCGACAGCCCACCCCGCACAGGAACGTGCAGTTTCGCTATCGGGGGCCTACAGTGGAGGCGTTTGTTAAGGAATAGTCTCAGGAGGCGCCAGACCCCAGAGGATTCCTTATCCAATGACGGCAGCAGTGGTATCCATTGTCTATCCACGATTGGAGTTCCACGGGCTTCCAGACCCTGGATTCCTTATCTAAGGTTTCCGTATCCAACACCGCATCGCCGATCTATCGGCGATGTAACGCCGATTCCAGCTCGATGGCCCTCCCCGAGCACGCCCCCTGCTGGCTTTCGGGTCACAGCTCAGGCCTCTGGCGGCCAGTGAACACGTCTGACAAAACTTCAGAACCGAGCCTCGAAACTTCGGCCCCCCTCCTCGCGTTGCCCCCACCTTCGATGATCATGAGGACGTGTGTTAGCCTGATCTGTGTGTATTTCCCTCGTCGTTCAGCTCCACCGAAGGCGCGCAGCTTGTGTCGGACCTCATCACACCGCCCGCGTCGTATCGAAGGGCTTCGGTGGACAAGCACACGATGGCGCCAACACATAGCGGGCTCCCGAAACCCTGAACCCAAAAATGCTGTCATCTCTGGGGCTGCATGCTTTATTTCCGCCAGCTTCCGCCACCCTTCTGCCGGCTTCCGCCAGCGGAGGCGGCCCCGTTTTACTTCCGCCGCCTCCCGCCGACTTTCCGCCGCCTTCCGCCGAGGAAGAGATGGCAATTCCTCCGACCCTCAAAAGGCGAGGGCCTTTCTGGAACGCCCCACGGCGAAGGCGAAGGCGTAAGCTGTCCGCGTAAGGCCGGGCGTAAGCGCCCTCGTCTCCAATGTAGCGTGCCGCGCTGGCGGTCCCCGTAAGTTGCGGCGTGAGGCGTGCATGCCATCTCGCGTAAGAGCCTTTTCTTTTCATTGCACACGTTGGCGCTAACACGTGTTCTGGGGATCATCGACCCGCACCCGCGTCCAGCCGTGCTGCCCGACCATGGTGCGCGGGTGGCGGCTGCTGCTCTCGGCGCCGCCGCTCGCGGCGGGCGCTGGCAGCCCTGTGGTGATCATCCCAGGGGACGGCTCGAACCAGTTGGAAGCCAGGCCGCGCCATGGAGGGAGGATAGTCCAGACGTGCTCGCGTCCTGGGAAAGTCGGGGCACGAGGTTTTCGGCCGTAGGGGCTCTCTGCGAGCCCGTTCATACCCATGGACCGTCACCAACGGACTCAGGACGAAGAACCTGTCTTCAGGAAAAGGTCGGGACTCCTGGGGACCCAGTATTTAGGAAATCAGGACATCGCGAAGATCGGAGGTGGAAGGATACCGATACCTTGGCTCGTCCTGGAGAGCCAGCCCTCGTCGCCACGGATGGATTCGCCCAGAAAAACGGTCAGAAATCGGGCCGAGAGAAAGTAAGGGATAGAGGAAGGGGAGGTTATGAAACCTGCTGCATGCAGCTGGTTTCAGCCCCGCCGCCGGGCCCATTCCGCGATACATGGGCGCCCCCTGGCGCCAGGAGGCGCCAGGATGACCAGCTAGGTGAGCTGATACTCTCCTACGCTTTGCTATCCTACCCTTTCATCCCCCCCGAAGAACGCACCCCTGGAGAGGTCCGGGGGACTCGGAGCCTCGATACGAATTGTTCGACCTGGGCGGGGTCTTCCTCGATGTGGGCTTCCCGAGGCCGAGGTCGGGCTCCGGGGCCATAAACAAACACTCCTGGGCGAATGTAAGGCCCTGGGTCGGGACCTCCCTGGGGCCGCGCAATGAGACACTCACACCATCGGGTGACTGGGTGGGAAATATGGAACGCGGGGAGGAGAGGATGTGGAAGGGAGGAGGAGGAAGAGGATGAGGAGGAGGAGGAGGAGGAGGACGAGGAGGAAGAGGAGAAGGTGGAGGGGGAGGAGGAGAAAGAAGAGGAGGAGGAGAAAGAAGAGGAGGAGGAGGCGGAGGAGGAGGAGGGGGAGGAGGAGGAGGACGAGGAGGAGGGAGGAGGAGCAGGAGGAGCAGCACCGATAAGAACGGGAGCCGGAGCGGCAGCGGCCGCAGCAAAGGCGGGAGCAGCAGCGGCAGGAGCGGCAGCCCGGTCGGGCCATTCCGGGCGACGGTTCGAATCAGTTGGAGGCCAGGCCTCACCATCAAGAGTGGAGAAGGCACGGCCCGCTCCCGACAGGGGGGCAGGCCGCGCCGCGTCACCATTTAGGTTTGCCTGGCGCGGAGAGAGTGGCGTGGGACAAGTCGCCAGCCGCAGCGTGCAGGAGGGAGGATCTTCACCCATCCGAAATCTTAAGAAAGAACACCAAGTTTCGTGGAGTCCGGATTTTTTTTAAAGGATCTGGGCGTTGGGCGGACTTTGGGCGTTCTCTTGGAGCCTCTGTTCTTCGTCGAATGTGGGCTTGTTTTTTAGATTATCGAACAAACTTCGAGTGAAATCCATGTTCTTAGCGCAAGATTCCTTTACTTTTACGCAGGGGTGCATTTCTCCACCCCTTACAAACAGCCCCCTCTTGCCGCACTTCAGACGCGTCGGTAGGGTGGGCAAGTCGTTTCTTCTGAGGCCTCCTGACCATCTGTGATCATGAAGCTTGGTATTTGGTACGGTTTCACGGATGAAGGGCGGGCCCCTTTTCAAAATGCGGTTCTTGCTACAGCGCCGCGCACATTGGTTTTGAAAGTTCGCAACAGGCCCTAAGACGCAGGGCGGGTCCCTTTTCAGAGTGCGTGTTCTCGCCTTAGCGCCGCGCACATTCGTTTTGAAAGTTCGCAACAGCTTCACGGATTGAGGGCAGGTGGTTTGACAGTGTGGTTGTCGCTTCAGCGTCGCGCGCATTCGAGTTGAACGTTTGCAGCGTCTTCCAGGATTATGCAACATCTGGCTCCCGCTTTGGCGCCGCGCACATTATTTCTGAAAGTTCGCAACATTTCCCAGGAATGGTGTTCGGGCACGATCAGGGTTTGTTAGTCACCACCCACCGAACCACCCCAACCCAACCCGAAGGCCTCAATTTGCCCTCCATTTCCAGTGGGGGGGCGTATGGAGCCCATACCCCCCCCCCAACCCGAAATTCGGGTCTTCGGGTTGGGTTGGGGTGGTCTGGTAGGTAGTCAGTTAAGACGCAACAGACGGCGTTGAAGTCTCAGGAATTGCGTTCTGCTGCGACTGAGGCTCACCAGAACGCAACTGTCATGTTGACTCGCGGCGTTGCAGTCCTATGAACTATGTTTTCGCGCGGTTGAGGATTCTCAGACGGTTTCCTTCCAATTCGGCATTTCCCACTATGACAATTAATGGTTGTAGGGGCCCGTGAAATTGGAATCGGAGGGAGCGTTTATTGCAGGAGCTTTGATGCGTCTTGGGTTGCACTTGTTCTCCTCGTCTTCCGTCTCCTCCTCCTCCTCCTCCTCGTCCTCCTCCTCCTCTTTCACGGCCGATGTTCTTGAGCTGGCCATGATTCGGGAGCGTCCAAGAGAGGCGTGACGACTGGGGGGCCATTGTATTTCCTAGATTTCGTGGCCCCTTGGTTTCCTTTTTCGCATGCCAGTTTTTATGTTCGCATTTCTTCTTATTGTTTTGATAGTATTCCCATAAGAGTTGGAATGCGTATTATGAGCCATTTCATGTATGATTATTTGTCTTCTCATTATGAGCCGTTCCATTTTTTCAAGACGTCTGCTGACCCCCGCCCGTCCGCGATGTTGCGCACCCCCCTCCTCATGGCCTCCTTGGTAGGCGCGCCCGAAGAGGGAAAGGTGTTCTGAGGGAACAGAGGCGTTGAGGTTGTTCGCCGCTTTGGGCCTTCACGGGCCCCTGGAGTGTCTGAAAGCGGTTCAGGACGAAGAGGTCGTCGTGGTGAAGACCCTTGGGGTCCTGGACCCACTTCCCTCAGGACACGTTTGATTCGTGCCAACAGGCTGGACAAGCCCAGCGTTGTGTCGTCGTGGTGCTCGCAGAAGTCGGATTGGTTCCGGCTGTGGCTGGACACCCCGAATCTACTCTTCGGCACGACTTGCTGGGCGGACAACATCAAGTTGGTGTACGACGAGCAGAACGGCGTGCTCTCGAATAGCGCAGGCGTGGAGACGCGCGTTCCGGACTTCGGCGGCACATCTAGCTTTGAGGAGCTTGACCCAGGGGTGCCAGGGCATGCGACCGCGGCGTTCCGCAAGATGGTCCAGGCTCTGACTAACGTCGGATACGAGCGCAACGTCACGCTGCGGGGGGCCCCCTACGACTTTCGCTATGCGCCGTCCTCGCCTGTTGGCGCCCATTTCATCGACGACCTCCGTGGTCTCATCGAGGAAACTGCCCGCGCTACCGGCAAGCGCGTGGTTCTTGTGTCCCACAGCATGGGCTGCTTGCAGGGGCTCTACCTCCTCAACCAGCAGACCCAGGCATGGAAAGACGAATTCATCGAGAAGTGGATCCCGCTTGCGGGGCCTTTTGGCGGCTCCGCCAAAGAGATGCGCCTGCACGCCTCAGGGGATAACCAGGGATTGCCCGTGAGCGCCCTCAAGATCCGAGAGGAGCAGCGCAGCTATGAGACGAACTTCTGGCTGGCCCCAACGAGAGAATTCGGCACCCGAGTGCTCATCTCGACGCCAGACCGCAACTACACCATCCTGGACGTCGACGCATTCTTTGACGACATCGGCTTCCCAGCCGGCAAAAGCCTCTACAGGCGTACGGAGAACCTCACGAGCGCAGTGGAAGCGCCAGGGGTCGACGTCGTCTGCATGTACAGCCTCGGCGTGCCGACACCGACCCACTTCCAGTACGGCGCCGGCGGCTTCGACGAGGCCCCCACGGTGACGAACGGGGACGGGGACGGCACGGTCAACGATCTGAGCCTCCGCCTCTGCGACCGGTGGGCGGAGGCCAGCGCGCGGGGGCGCACAGCCCGGGTGCAGCGGTTCTTGATGGCACGCAGAAGTAAGGGGCAACGCTCGGGGGGGGGGATAGGCTGATGCGGGGATGCATTGGCCCCTAGTCGCCCATGGATCGCCGATGGGAGCCCGATAGCCCACCCGCCCAGAATCGCGCGGAGTTGCCATCGCGGGCTTGTCGCCGACCCATCCGCGACGCATCGTCGATTCCAGCTCGACGTGGCTCCCTCCCGGAGCAGGTCCCTCTCCGAAGTTCTCCTTCAACGAGGGGGCGGGCGCACACAGAGGCCCCGATCGACGGCGACCTCCTGAGTGTTGCAGCCCGCGTTTGTGCCTCTCGACTGCAGCCCTCGGGGACCGGCTCCCGGCCCTCGGGACAGTCGGCTATACGTAAGAGTGACATTTCGCCGGAGTGACCCTTTGGTGCGGGCCCAATGGGGTCCCCCGATCGCCGAACGCGTACCGTAGTTGCGTCTTGCGCACTCGTGTTCCGTCGTCCCCGCGGCCCCCAAGAAGCCGTGCACCAAAGGTCACTTTTACCCAGGGTCACTCTTGCGCGTACTGGAGACAGTCTGACACGGGTCCGGGGTGAAAATTTCGAGGGGTCGGTACTTCTTGGGCCGCGCATCGCCAAAAATGAGAAGGCCAGAGGTCTGGGTTCTGAGAACGCGAGGAAGGCTTCGGGGGCAACGAAAGAAGGGGGATGGGCATCGGGGGGATGCATCGACGCCCAATCGCCCATTGATCGCCGATGGGGGCCCAATAGCCCCACCCCGCCCAGGAGCGTTTGGACTCGCTATCGGTAGCCTATTGCCGATCTATCGGCGATGTATCGCCGATTCCAGGTCGATGCATCCCCCCTATGCCCCCTATCGTTGCCTCAGAGCTTCTAAGAAGGCAGGGGCCTTCTTAAGCACTCCCGGCTTCTGAGGAGCCTTCCTAGCAGCCTCGGGGCCCTTCGGAGAAGTTTCCGCCTTCTCAGAAGGCCGGTCCCCCTCGCGCCATCCCGTTCCCAGACATCCGATGTTTTGTTTTTATTATTCGGGGTCCCTGGACTTCTGGACCATTTCCTGAGGGCCCTCCCCCCTTCCTCTTCTCTTTTCCCCCCCGCACCTCCAGAGAAGGGGTCGGTCAGTTTTCTGTCCCGGCCGCGTGGCCGATACCACTGGCCCCAGGGGGGGGGGGCACTCTGTTAACCTCTCTGTCCCTTCGTTGCACCACCGAGCGAAAAAAGAAAAGTCGCCGGGCCCCAAACATTGCTTTTGAACTTCGGGGAAGTATAGATACCTTGCTTGTCTTCATCCCCGGACGGCCCCAGGGCCGAGACAGCGGCCCCCAGCCTCAAAATTGCGAAGATCCGCCCTGTGTTCGTTCAGTCTGTTGGAGGCCCGTGCTCCGAGGTGGGGTTGATCCATGACCACCGCCAGGGGGATCGATCTTCCGGGACGTCGGCAGCCAGCGGATATGGATGTAACAAGGGCTCCCACGAGGGTGCGAAGTTATTCGCGCTTCGCGGTCCTCGTTTCTCCTCTCCCTCCTCCTCGTCCTCCTATTCTCCCTTTGGGAGGGCGGCGCGAGAGCGCGAAGTTATTCGCGCTTCGCGCTTCGCGCAGCGCGAAGCGCGAAGTTGGGAGCCCTAGCTAAGTGGTGGGGATGGACAGAGCCCCGCCTCGCATGTGGCCGTGATGCCGTCCCGCGTCCACTGCCCTGGTACCGCAACCTTTCCGCGTCCCCTCTCTTGCGTCCGGACAGCGAGTTTGTCGCAGCATCCCCGGCAACTCGAGCGCCCGTGCGGATTGCCTCTGCCGTGCCGCGGCGAAAAAGTGCTCGCCGCCAAGGTTCTCCGGGGTGACGCACTCGGGCATGCTCACCGACGACGGCGTGATCAGGGCGCTTCTTGCGGAGCTTGGCCTCGAGCACCCCGCGGCAGCCGCCGAGGGCCACCTGTTCGCGTGAGCGCGCGGACCGATGGGCCGCTGGGCCGATGCGAACCCAGTTCTCCGACGATCGGCCACGCGCAGAGGGGGGGTAGGGGGAGAGGGGGGGCTTCGTAGAAGCACCCCTGCTTCTTAGAAGCCGCGGGCCCTCTCTGTAGACATCACTTACGCTAGATGACGCCTTCGCTGCTACGCTAGGCCATCAACTCACTCCCAGGAGTAATATCCCAATGATGCCTCAAAATGATACCCAGAGCCCCCGCCCCTTGCCGGTCGGTTCATTGACAGAAGTCTCAGACTCATTTCCACCAATTCGGGACGAGCTTTTCATGGACGATTCGATCCAGCGTGCAGCAGCGTTCTTTTAGCAGGCCTTGCGAAGTCTCCAAAGCACCCCAGAATGCTGGAGGCTGCGCAAGACGGCTTCAGATCGCCAAGGGCCCAAGGCAAGCCCCAGGAGCACCTCACACGATTCGGCTGAAGAAGATCCGAACACGTTTCAGGAACAAACTAAAGAGTGTACGAAAAGTCGCCAAGAGGCTCCCAAGAGCATTCAAGTATGCTTGAACTTATATACGCTCGAGCGAGCCCCCGAGAAGCCCCCAGGAGGCTTCAGATGATTCCATTGAGCCCAAGGAGTCTCTAGGAGCTGAAAAAGACCCGACGCCCTCAAAAGCCGATCGAGCAGGCCAAGTGGGATAACACGATGGGGGGAGAGCCTCGTCCGTTCATCGACGTCTTCGTGTCTACTTCGTCCATCTTCCTGCTCCCTCGCCCCTGCTCGTATCATCCTTGGCCCCTCCTCACCGCGTGCCTCCTTCCCCTTCCCCTTTCCATCCTCCCATCTCCCTCATCTCGCCTCTTCGTGTCCCCTCGCTCCTGCCCCTATCCCTCATAGTTCTTCCCCTTCTTCGTTTTTTCATGTGTCCTCGCTGCTCCCGCCTTCCCGTCAGACCTCGCTTCTCCCTCAAGCTTCCCGTGCCCCATGTGCCTGCGCCTCGAACCTGGGCGCGTGCGTATGGTTCTAGTACACATCAAGGGGCTATTGCCCTTCGGCCCTTCCCACCACGTGCCTGCATTGTGTTCCTGGGGGCACTTTGGAGGCCTCTTCGAGGCCTCTTGGAGGCCTCTTGGGCGCTCCTGGGGGGCTCTTGCCAGTCTCGGGGCGGCATCCTGGCACGAGAGACTGAGGCTTCCCAGGGCCAGTTGGTGTTCCCCCCTTATTGGGCCGAACACATGTGTATATTGTCCAGTCAATGCTGCTTTCCGGAAAAATGGCGCAAAGACCCCGCGAAGCGCTTGGGAGCGCCAAGGAATTCCAGGCCCTGGGCCTTTTACATACCCTTGACTATGTTCAAGAAAGGCCGAATCGATTTGAGCATACTTCACTCAGTGCCCACGGCACGGTTATGGGTAATGTTCACAACAAATTGGACAAGGGAACCCGTCTTCATCATCACAAGTGAGTCGTGAGGTCTTGGTGACATGGAAGGAAGGGTAGGCCTTTGAACGGGAGCTACAGGCGATCGACGCTTGCGTTTTGCTCTGCTCGATATGGATGGCGTTGCGAGGGCATGCCATCAGAACCCGCGACGTTTTTCTCCTCGAGCTCAGCCTTGCGCGACAATCGGCGCATCGCCGCGCACTCCCTCGCGCGAGGCGTGCACGAGACGGCCCCGCTTTGCGGCGGTCGCCGGCGCGGTCCTGTGCCACCCGTCGCGGACGTCAGCAGGCGCAGTGGTGCGAACAGCACAAGAAACAAATCATCCCGGCCCGCATCTCGGTGGTTCAAAGATGGGGTCCTGAGGGTTGGGGTCCTAAGGACGAGGTGCCTCAAACAATGTGAATCCGCCCTTGGATCCCTTACTATCCTTAGGACCCCATCCCTCAGGACTTCATCTTTGAACCACCGGCCATCGGCGAGACGTGCTTCTGGGGCGCGGGCCAGGAAGCCGCTCGCACGCTCTGCCAGGGCCTCCCTGGATTTCAGGGGGGCTCGCCACGAGAGCTCATGGGCTCCGCGGCTCGGAGCGCTTCGGGCTGCCTGGGTTTCGGCGCCTGGGCCTCTTGTAGAGGCGCCTCGTGGCCGAAGTCCTGCGGTGTCGCGGCGGAACAGCAGGGTCCGTCACCCATTCAACCGGTCCAGTTCGATGTATCGACTTTGGCCGGCATGATCCGATCCGATTCCGATGCTCTGGCCGGCCCGATTCAGTGCGTTCGATCTGGATACGGAAAGATTGAGCACGAAGACCGACAGCAGCTCCTGTCAATATTCTGAACAGGATTCGCTGTCGGCGTCGCCGCCGGCGTTGTTCGTGTGAGACAGAGGGCCGCCTGCCCAACACCGGCCGCTGTCGGTTTGGGACAGAATTTGTTGCTGGGCATCGGACCCACTTCTTTTCGGGCGTCCAGACCCGATGCTGGCCGATGTTTGCATAGCGCTGGTGATTTCTCGCTGTACTCCGACCCGATCCGGTCTCCCGATTCGATGCTGGCTGATCCCGGATCGGATCGGACGAACGGGGGATGGGGAAAGACATGGTTACGACACTTGCTGCGTGCTGCTGGTTTGGGCTCCGCCGTCGGGCGTTTCTCTCGATATACTGGCGGCTGCGTGGCTGGGATGCGCCGGGGAAATCAGCTACGTGGTGGGGTGATTTGCTACCACCGCCCCCATTCGTCCGACCCGAGCCCCAAACATCCGACGGTATGAATTTCTCAGTGCGCTGCCCCAGAGGTCTCGACCCGTTCTTTCCCCAGGGGCCAGGGTCTTCGCTTCATGGCCCCGGGGCGCGGCAACGGGCCCCACTTGGATGAATCTTGCTTGGTGTAAGTTGCACCGTCATGTGTAGCAGACTTAAAGAGTTGTCATACTTGAATTCGTATACGTTGCATCTTCCGTTAAGCTGCGTAAAGCTTGTTACGTTTCAGTGTGTTTACAGATGGGCTTGCACAAGGGATCTGAGATGTATTGCACCAGAATTGGCAAGAGCCGATCTTCAGTTTTGTTAGAATCTTCTCACTTCGCTGGAATGATCACAGTTGGACGCTGAATCTCCTTACGAGCCCTTCTCGAAGCTCAGCAGCGCTCGCACGTTCGCGTAAGCAGTGCGTCCGCGTGGGCGCGCGGCGTTGAGTTCTGTAGTGTCCAAGATTGAATATGCTCCATGTTCGCATGGAGCTTGAAGTGAACCCTGAGTGATGAACTACAGGATTTCGGTGACACGCTCGCGCGCGTGTCACACGCCGCGCGGTAATGATTACCGTGCGCGGGCGGACGAGTGCGTGGAAAGTTTTGGACTGAACCTTGACGGTGGCCGATTGGATGTTCAGATGTCCTGAGTTCTCGCGTATACTAAGCACGTTGACAGGAACAACCAACCTGCCACCGCGCCGCGTCTGGGAGGCATCTTGGGCCATCCAAGAGGCACGGGGGCACGGGGCACTTCGCAGGCGCCGCGGGGCAAGGCGAAATGCGAGACCTCGTTCGCCGACATGGCCAATGCAGAAGGGCGCCTGTCTGAAAAGCCCGGCCGGCGCGGCGCGCGCGTAGGTCGGCGCATGGGCGATAGTTGGAAATGGAAGGCGCTTTGCCCGCGTCAGGCGGCGCGGCCGCAGCCGCCCGATCTGCCCCGGCCGCATGACACCGCTCCAGCGAACGAGGAGCAGAGAGCGGCAGGTGGCACTCCCCGCGTTCGGCGAGAGCGCGCAGTTCAAGGAGAGGACGCCACAAGTTGGAGGCGCGATGGGAGAGGGATTTTCCTGAGTATTAAGGTGGAGCCCACGGAGAAGATCGTGGGCACCGAGAGAGGAGTCTACGTCGCGCAGTCGGCGTGGCGGCTGCCCGAGGACCAACGCTACGATTCCGAGGCGCTGATCAAGCTAAAGGGCCTCCCGTGGAAACCCATCGCGGACGGCCCGGAGGACGAGGGGGTGCGCGAGTTCCCCAGCGCGGCCGAGTTCGAGCCCGAGTGCCCCGAGGTGCCTCCTGTTCCCGCGGAGGCGGCCGAGCAGGTGTGGCAGCAGAGGCGCTATTGCATCACGGTCGCGGATTTGGAGGAGTACGGCTTCTCCGAGGGTTGCCCGGCCTGCCTGGCCACGCACGTGGGCCACCTCTGATCGGGGTTGTTATGCGCTGGAGTGCAGAGAGCGGATCGAAGCTGCAGCCACGGCTGATCCCAATCGCAATTCCCGGTTGATGGCTGGGGGAGTGCGGCGAGCCGAGAAGAGGCCTGCCGTGGACCCGCCTGCGGAGACCAGCGCGGGCAGGCGACCCAGGATACCTGCGCCTGGAGCGGCTGCGGGGGGCTCGGTTTCGTCTTCAAGCCGGCCGTCCCCGGCGCCCCAGGAGACGCAGGTGGATGGAGGCGCGGCCCCAGCGTCGGGTCAGCAGCCCGAGATGGAAGTGGACGAGCAGGGATCCAGAGCTTAACGAGCCGCCCCGGAGGAGGGCAACGCCATACAGGACACCATTGGGTTCATGACTCGGCCCATGGATTGCGGCGGCGACGACGACGAGGTCGAGCGCGCCATCGGCGCCCTGGTGGAGGTCCAACGGGAGCGGGTGATCATGGAGATCCGCGAGTCTGGAAACGAATGCCCGGCACCAGTGGTGAAACAGCACGAATTGATTGTCGACGATTAATTGGGCCCGAGGACCTGCGCTACCAGGACGATGTCTCTAGATTCATCGAAAAGATCGGCCTCTGGGAGGTGGTGCCCCGACCACCTTGGCATAGGGTGATCGGCACAAGATGGGTCGACGTGAACAAGGGCGACGACGTCGACTGCCAGGTTCGGAGCCGGTTTGTCGCGAAAGAGATACGTCATCAGGGATCAGGTGAGCAGTATTTTGCTGCAGTGCCCCCACCAGCATCGTTAAAGGTGCCTCTCGGCATCGCGGTCACGTCCGTGCTCCCTCGGAAAGAGGTGGTGCACGCCAAGATATGGCAGTGCGTGCTGCAGTTCTTGGACGTGAAGAAGGCGCACGATTGGGTCATGGCCGAGCGGTTGCGATTTGTGGAGCTCCCTGAAACTGAAGACTACGAGCGGGCGCGCGGGATTACAGGGGACATGGTGGGCAAGCTACTTCGTTCCATGTATGGGGCGCGGGATGCCGCCTCCATGTGGGAGAAACTGGTGGTTGCCAAAATAATGGTCTTAGGCTTATGCCAGGACACGGAGCTCCCAGTGCATCTTCCGGCACCTGGCCAGGGACATCAGGGCGACGCTCCACGGCGACAACTTCGCAAGCCTGGCCTTCAGGGCCGACGGCCGACTGGATGTTCAAGGAGGTGAGCAAGGCGTGGACCGTGAAGGTGGAGGGCGTCTTCGGCCCGCCCGGCGAGCCGGATACAGCGCAAAGCATTCGCACTTTGAACCGGCTCCGAACGTGGACGACGGAAAGCATCGAGTGGGAGCGTGATCCACGACACATCGACAATGCGATTCGCGATTTGGGGTTGGCTTCAGGAGGAGCTAACACCAAATTCACCACGCCTGGGGTCCGCGAGAGCTTCGACGCCGTGGAGGAGGAGGACATCGCCATCCCACAGGAGCAGCGCACTTGGTACTGGTCGGTCTGCATGGCGCTGGCATACTTCGCACAGGACCGCCCTGACCTTGGTGCAGCTGTTCGCGAGATGGCCAAGGGGACGCAGGCCCCTTGCGAGCGCCACGTGGCTTTGTTGAGGCATGCTGCACGCTATCTTCGAGGTAATCGTAGGCTTGCGCGGTACTTCAAGAACCAGGGGGCGGCTACATGGTTAGACTGCTGGCGCGACGCAGACCACGATGGCTGCCACAGGACGCGGATGAGCACGTCAGGGGGCGCAATCATGGCCGGTTTACAGCTTGCGCTGCTTGCATCACTGGTGCCGCGGTCAGTCGGTCATAGTGTTGAGTAGTGGTGAGAGGGTACTCTAGTCTAGTGACGCTCATGAGTGAGTCGTGCGGCTTGCGATCATTAGCCTTAGATTGGAGTCCTGCCAGAGACAGGGAGAGAGAGGGAGAGAGAGAGGGGAACCAGAGGCAGAGAGATATTGCATAAGACTGAGAAGAAATACCATACATAACGATTCGATAATGCAGTTTGTATCGGGGAGACACGAACGAGTCAGACTGATACGAAAAAATAACAAGAAAGAGAGAGAGAGAGAGATAATAACCCACAAAAGGAGAGAAAGAGAGAGAGAGAGAAGAAAAAAAAGGAGCGCCCACCGACAGCACTGATATAGAGAGATGCCGAGCGAGAGAGAGAAAGAGAGATACAAAGAAAGAGACTGGGCGCCCACAGACAGCCGCCTACCGAAATTGGTTGGTTGCTGTCGCCAATCCCCTGAGTAGGCGCCCGCCGAAAGCCGCCCACCGAGAGCCGCCCACCGAAATCGGCCCGCTGCTTTCTCTAATATTATCTATGTCTGCTAGGGCACCTGCAGTGTAAACACGGATTGGGGAAATCTCGCCACCGAACCAAAACAAATCAGAACATATTTTGGTAAACGCAGAAATTGGTTTATTCAATCACAAGCGGGTTTTCTAACGATGGTGCCGTCTCTTTAAATCGAAAAGCTTATCGCGACTATGACTCACATTGATAGATCAGTTGGGTGAATCACATTGGAATATACAATCGCATAGACACGCTCATCTTGTCTATTCCAGAAACAACTGTTAGAATACCACCGGCCCGCATATAGACGAGACTATTTGCAGTTGGTTTTATACGCACGTTTTAGAACAAGGCCGTGCGAGCACACAAGAACACGATGTATGGGATAGTATTTTGTTCTAGTGGATACAAAAATGGCATCTGTTTTCTGGCGCTGAACGTCGTCAGGTAAACAATATCTTGTAAATCTTGCACGTCGTAGGAAAAAATGCATTCAAGTGGATGCCAAAATCGAGGAAACGACGTTTGATAAAATTCCAAGTTGC